TGGCCTTTCCAGCCCCTTATGCCCTTTGATGCCCCAAATTTCTAGATTCTCCCTGAGACTCTCTCTATTCCCTTTTCCTTGCAAAGTGGCTGATTATATCCCAAGCTCATTTTTTTCTTCTGCCTTGTCAAAGGCAGCCAGTAACATCAAGCACACATCATCTTTATCATCATCATCATTATTATTAAGCACTTGTTCTGCTGTGACATAATAGGGACTTCCAGGCTTCCACTGTCACATTGTGTCCCTGTCTTCCACTGCAGACCTGCTAGGTTAACACCATGCCACTTGTTTTAGTATTTTGTTAATGCAGCACCTAAATTCAAGTTATCAATATCTGCATTATGACTATAAGAAACAACAGACCTCAGAGGCTTCACACAGAGGTTTATTCTCTCTCACAATACAATCCATTCAGGTTTCAGCAGTTGAAAGGATAAATAATCTTTATACCTTGAAAGAGAAAGGAGACTGGGAATGGGAGCGGAAAATATTTCAAAATTATTGATAGTGTCTTAGGCTGGGTGATAGGTACATATACACTCATACTTTATATTGTACATCTTTCATATATGTACTCTTGGGTATGTATGAAATCTTTCATAATAAAAAAATAAAAATTCCTCCAGCTGACTTTAAATCATGTTAGTATACATGTAAGCATTTACAAGGAAAGTGTGAACATCATTTTTTCTCCTTCACCTCATCCCCACCTTCACATACCACAGACTTTTCTCCTTTAAGATTGTCTGGCTTGTTTGTGATATAGAAATTCCACAGGACTTCAAGTCAGCAGTCTTTGTGGCTAAAGGAGAATGAGTGACTTTGTAACTACTGATCTCCTCAGGCAATAGAGCAGTAGTAACCAATGACTTCATAGGAGCTGCTTCTAATGGTTCTGTTGTGTGGTTACCTGGGAGGATGCCTAGAAAATTAATCAATGTGGCAGTGTCTAGCCTCACTCTGGACCTTGAGTGACACAGCCTCCCTCATCCATAGTTATAAAGTCACTTTGGTTTAGCTCCACATTTCCTAGTAAAGACTTTTGGTTAAAATGAGGCAGATCTGCCTCATCTTAGTTCAGTAGAACTAAACCCTGTTGAAAGTGAATTGGTATATTGGATGATGAGAAAACTGTCGCATCTTAGTGTAATCGGCTGCAGGGCATCATTAGAAGTTAGTACTATTCTTTGACCTTCATCACTGCCTAAGGGCAATGGTTCCTAACTCACTGGGAAAACATATATTTACTGATCACCCTCTATGTCCTGGCTACTAGGATACAAGGTGTAGTAAAATAATCCCTGCCTTATCACGCTACTTAAAATGAATTCTAATTGTTGAAGCAGAGATGTGAGATGGAGTTGGGAATGCCTTGGGAATTTTCCTGTTGTCTTCTCAAATTAACCACAAAAGGAAAGTGCATGCCGGAGGGTAGTGTGGGAGACACCCCAAGCCAGGATGAAGGAGAATGTTCAGGGGTGAGTGTACTAAACCTTACACCATGCAGTCACCAGAGCTGAACGTTCAGCTTAGGAGAACTGACTCAGAGTCAGAAAGGAGGCACGCAAACAGGAGGGGTCCTAGCCTCTTTGATACAGGGATAACAGGGAAAGTTTTTAGGTTGAAATTGGAACCAAAGAAGACCAAGGGATAAATGAGTTAGCAGCTGGGGAGGATCAGAGGAAATATCTGGGGCAGTTCCCAAATTAGTGAACTGTGCTCACAGGGGGTAGCTGGCCAATGCTGTCTTATCCTTTGAAGGTAGTTCAGGGTTTCTCCAGGCTTCAGGTGATTCATCCCTTCAGCACTATAGTCTCAAGAAAGAGGTTACTCTGTCTGTTTGGGGGGATCTTACACTGGGGAGAATGCCAGGACACTATCCAGGAATCTTGTTGACTTGATCTAGTTCAATCTAGTTGACTTGATTAAAAGCTGAACCTAGAAAGCCAGATAAGGGCAAGATAATGTGGGCCCTACTGCCACACTGAGGAATGAGAACTTAATTTAATAAGCAGAGGAGCCTTACACACGTTAAATGGGGAAGGGATGAGATTAAAACCGACCTTTCCATCTTTCCTGTGCCCCCCCTCAACATAATGGACACTATTCCAACTCTGAGATACCAAGCTTGTCATTTTGGTTCCTGCAATATTTTTTCCTTTCCTCCAGACCTTCTCTTTTTCTTTCCATGATGAAATGAGTGGCATTATGAAATAAAGGACAGAACGTAGACTTGGAGGCAGAAAGACCAGAAACCCAAATCTGCATACACCAATCAGCTACTGAAATGACTTTCATTCATTCATTCAAATATTTTAGTGCCTGCTACGAAGCCAGGCACTTTTCTAGGCCAAGATGGTAGTAGTGGATAATACAGACAAATTTTCTCTTCTAGAGAGGGGAGAAAGACAAATAAAAACAAATACATATGCTGTATAACATTAGAAAAATGATGTAAAGAAAAAGAGAGTGAGGGGTTAGATTCTGATAGGAGTATCCAAGGAAGTGACATAACAAATCTACATGAAATGGAGAAATCTGGGGAAGAGCATTCCAAGCAGAAGGAAGAACAAGGGCAGAGTATTCTAGCTTTGTACTTACCTGGTATTTTAGGAAGAAGAAGGCAGTGTGATGAGAGGTCATGAAAGGTCATAACAATGGCGAGAGGTAAAGTTGGTGAAGTCAGATGGTATAAAGCCTTGTTAGACATGGAAAAGAATTTAGATTTTTTTCTGACAGGAGGGTTTTGAGAAAGGGAGTTAATATTCTAACATATTTTAAAAGATTATTCTGGTTATTCTATGATGAACTGCCTGAAAGGAGATTGGGGAAGTGGAAGCAAAAATCACCTTCCTCAGTTAACATGAAAATATCTCTGTTTATAATTGTATCATGGAACTTAATGGTTAGTCAAGTTATGGTAGACTCTTGGATTTAATACTCCAAAAATATTGCAAACATAGTGTTTGAAAGTATATGCATTTTAAAAGTGAATTCAGTGCATTAGTAAATGTAAGAAATTATTAGTAAAAATTATTGAAATTAGTTAATTCTCTGGCTTTCAACATCTGTAGTTATAGTCCTACCTACTTATGAGAACATTATTTGGGCCTCAGCATCTTTGAAAGGAAAGGACAATTAGGTAATCTCTAGGTTCTTATTGAGTTCTAAATTTCTGTGATTCTGAGAACAAGCCAGGTAAACAACAATACTGAACATAGCTTATATAGAACAGTTCCTATAAAATAGCTGGATGGAAAATTTCTAAACATTTTAAGCATAGGTTCTTCATGAGTTCATCTGAAGGGACCATGTGTACTGTATTACTTACAAATCTATTTGTAACCTGCATATTGTGAAAAATATAAAATTATAATTGTTTTGGGGGAAATAATGTAATGCATATGCTATGAATGCTAATTTTAAATGATTGGAAAACCATTTTCTAAGAGGCAGTTTGAATTGTTAATTTTGAATGCAAATTTTTAAATATATTTCTTTATGTAGAATTATTCTTGTTATATTTTATGATTCTTGGTATTCAGTTTTCCATCAAGAATATAAGTAGCATATTGTTACTCTAGGGAACCACAGAAAGAGTCCATCTACCCATTTGTCTCCAATAATAAAAATGAGTATGATTCAAAAATGTTAAATGTGATAAAGAAATTAAATGGTTTATAATTCTATGCTGTAATTCAGAAGGTTTATAGTAGAGCCTCTCAACCTCAGTGCTAATGACATTTGGGGCCAGATAATTAATTCTCTGTTCTGGGAGGCTGTCCTGTGCATTGTGTGATGTTTAGCAGCATCTTTGGCCTCTACCCACTAGATGCCTGTTGTGACAATGAAAAAATGTCCCTTGGGAGAAAAAAATCGCCCCCAGTGAGAGTCATTGTTTTATGATGTAGATGCCTGCTCATTTACAAAGTAAGCTTCTTTTTCTTTCTTTTAAGAGATTGGAAACTATTCAAATATCTAATCTGGTTCTTATGGAGCTTGGATCTTATATTCTTGATACTGAAGAACTCTATTATCTTTTTGCTTCCTCCAACACAGGAATGATTACTTCCTCTCACATAAGCTTAGGGGCATCGTCCACTCAAATTTAAAAGCAATGAGTCTGTGTCAGTTTCCACAATGTCTTTGTCACTTTTAGCATCAGACTTGCTAATCTAGACCTTTAGGTCAAGGCAAAACTGATTACCAGACTGGGCAAAGTGCTCAAAGCTGCCTCAATTCACCCCTACCCCAATGCCTGGGCATGATTTCACCTCTGCTGATATTGTTGGGCAAACTAACTGCTTCACAGATGTTTAGCTAGACACTCTCAGTTCCTGATTAGGTGGAAAAGCAATCAAGAACCAAAATTCCTATCTATTAAAATGTGTACATTTACTTCCAAAAATAGTGCAGAATGATCCCATCAGAAATTTATCTGCGCTTTTCTTCCCATGAAAATCGTAGACAACCACTATATTTTTGCGTGCTGTCATGATCTAAATCAGAACACACCACCACCTGCTCAGGAAACAGGAGGCTTGCCCAGAGATCAGAGATGGTGGCTCAAGTAGAGCATGTGCATATTACATGTTCAAGTAAGGTCAAGAGTCTAGGCAAATCCAGAGTGACAAACACGGTAAGATACCATCACCCCCTCACCCCCACCGACTTTTAGCAATGGGAACAGTAGTAAAGACAAGAGGAAGGATCCCCTACAGGTCCTGGCACTCCGTGGATCTCAATAAAATGTCTAGCAAGGCCGAACAAAGTGGATTACATAGCAGCCGCCACCTGGAGATTTCTCATTTGAGAAAATGAGGACAATATTTGTTGACTCACAGGACAACATGAAATGCTTCTAAAATTTTTAGCTTCTTAGTACTTTGGAAAGAAAGCACCATAACAGTCCTCAACCTTCCCTGTCCTCTCATATGTTTGTCTTGGAAAAAGAAAAAAAATCCAGTTTGCTAATTCCTAATATTTAAACTTGAAAGCGTTCCCATAAGACACTCTGAAGACTTAGACAAGCCCTTGCGCCCCGCCACCCGCCCCAAGGCGGGGAGTGGCAGTTCCACCCGGGGCCTGAGCTGTGTGATGTCCCGGGGGGAACGTGGAACGGAACTTTGGGTGGACAGCGCGCCAGTGACGGGGTCTCCTTAGGACCTGCAGGGCACCTTGGGGCCGCCCATCCCCGTCCCCCGGGTACGCCCAACCCCGGAAGCCCTCCCCCGGCCCCGGTCCGGCCGGGACCCTCGGAGCAGCGGCGCGCGGCAGGGCCACTTTAAGGGCGGGCCGGGGGCGGGCGTCCCCCAGCTGCGGGCACGAAGCCATTGGCGCGCGGCGGGCGGCGGACGCGACGGGCTGGCTGCGAGCTCCTCCCGTGGCGAGGCTGCCCGAGGACCCGCACGTGGGCAACGGGCCATGGCGGACTCAATTATCCGCCCGGAGCTCGGCCAAACCCCTGAGCTGGTAAGAGGCGGAGGAGGAGGAAGGGGAGGCAGCTGCGTTTAAAACCGCGCGCGGGCCGGCGCGACGACCCAGTCGGGCGGCACAGCCACGCCGGGCGCAGGCCAGTACGTCTGGGGACGGCCCGGGGGCCACTGCGGGGCGCGAGCCAGTCCCGGCCGCTTCCCCGGGCGCCCCGGCTCGCTCCTGGGGCCCCACGGCGGGCGCCTGCCCACCTCGAGGACGGAGCGGAGGCCCGAGGAGGGAGGGCGACTGGACTGTGTCACAGCGTCACTCCCTCGAGCTCTTGACTCTCGCCAACCCAAACCCATCTTCCGGCCCCAGACCGTTGGTGGGGCGACACGGGAGCAAGACGTCGTAGGGTAGATATTCGGGCTGGTGGCCGGATGAAAACGGGAGTGACAATTTTGGTTTCAGCATGAATATAGGAAAGTTGATTTCACACTTTTCAGTTTGAGTGTAGGAAAGTTTATTCAACATGTTGAATATGGAAAAGTTGATTTTCAGCTCTCTTGTCTGCACAGCTCTAGGTGCCTTTTTTCGCAGTGCTCACTGCCGTGGCGTCCAGAGTGTCCTTGTACTGCCCTCTCCGCGCTGACCCTCAAACAGGCAGACGTTTGTAGAGACCGTGCTGTTGGCGGGAAGACGCGTCTGCCCTCTTCACACATCCGCCCACCCTCCCTGGAAGTCAAAAGGCCCCCTGGCCTCTTTTGGACGCACCTTATTTATCGTCCCCTCGGCAGACGCACAGAATCATTTTGGTGACTGTTTTCGATAAAAATGAAAGCAGCCCACTAGGAAGGAAGCATAAACAAAACCCCGCCGACCCCAGAAAGCAAGGTGACCTGGTATTGGCTTTCTTCTGAGTATTTCACGTCTTGATAAATGTCAGAGGGAAACCTTTTGCGCTGCTTAAGTTTTGTTACCCCTGAGAATGTTCTGCATACTTAAATCTCCTCACTCCTTAAAAACAAGCGTTCTGAACCGAATCACTACCACTTGGAGTGGACCGAGTTTAAGAGGTTTTTCTTAATTATTTAAAAATGGAGGCACCTATTTAAACTCAGAGTATTTTGGGGGTGCAGGATTAGGCAAAGCTGCACAAAATGGAACTCTGAATAAAATATTATCGAGTAGTACATAAATAAATGTGGCTTCCCACCCTTAAGAGTCTGAAGCCCCAGCTGAACATTTTGTTTGCACTGGGAGAGAAGCTAGCTCACTCAGTTTCTCCGGATAGAGCTGCTTAAATCCCTTGACTCCTGGGGAAACTGGAGGCCAACAATTGCCCCGTGAGGGCATCAGCCCTGCAGCTGCTGCTAGTTGTCAGTGCTGCTCCCAGTGATAAGAGTGACATAAATAACAGCTCACTAAAATGTAGGAGTGATTTACTTTAAGCACTTCAGCACCTGCTGTTACTAATTAAGGGTTTAGCCTGCCACAGATTGCAAATGGAAATCCAGTGTTTTAAAAATGGCAGAGACTGGAGTGCCCTGCCTCTTCCCCTGATCTCAGAAATCAGAGTGGATGAAGAGCACTGGTGACGATGATGTCGCCTGGTAAAAACTGCCCACACTTCACAGATCTGCAGCAAGGTGTAGTAGTGTTTAATCCCTGAGTGCTGGACTTCGATGCTTTTTATTTTCTCTTTAGACTGTTTTGAATTTTCCAGCCTTCCACAATGAATATGTAGTGCTTTTGTTAAAGGAGTGCAGTAAGCAATTCAAATAGGAAAAAATTTCCACCAAAGGAGGCCTAGCATTGGTTCAAATCGTGGTGCTCACAGGTGAAAACCGTAGAGGTACTAAAAGCAGTTTTCCAGAGCCTAATGTACTAGAACCATTTATTCATTTTCCTTTTATTCTTATCTGTGGATCCTTCTTATCACCTGTGCTCGTATTACACCATCAACAAGATATTTTTAACTATATAAATATTCAAATTGAAGTTGATTAGAAGCTATTCAGTTAATTTGAATTACTTGGGGATAGTGGACTAGGGCAGTGTTCTGATTTGTCTGATTAGGAACATTCCTAGTGTGATGATTTTGTGGGGCAGGGAAGGAAGCCTTGGGCAGGAGAGCAAATCAGTTCTTTCCAGAGCTGCTTTATTTCCTGTCGCTCTGTGTCCTGCTGCCAGGCACTGCAAAACCCTTGATTCCGGCACAGAAAGACCGGTGAGTGATACTTGGCTTTCTCATCCTTTTCCAGATCTCTTTCCCCCTCTCCTCAGTTTCTCCCCAGTTCCCGGGTTCTGCCCTTCAAAGCTTGCTCTAGACTTTTCTCCACAAGACTAGCTGAGCGATTCTGGAGAATTTAGGAACTGGGCTTCTGAGGGGAATGTGGTCAGAAGCGCTAGGTGCTATCCAGGAAAGGGCTCAAGTTAGCAACTGATGCCTGTTGTTCAAAACTTACCTTTGCTTCTCAGTTGGCCCTGTGTCCCGAGCCCTGTGGCTCAGGTAATGCAGAGAGCAGTTTGATTTTAGGGCTGTTTTCACTGCCTGACATAGATACATTTTCCTTTTATTTCTCTCCATCTCCCCTTCCCCATCAGGTTGATTTGATGGGTTTTGTGATCGGGTTTGGTATTACCTGAGAACACATGGCAATAACTACCACCTACAGGGCATTGTACAAACATTACTCCTTATAACAGTCTTGTGATGTAAGTATTATTGCCCCCCAGATGAGGATCAAATAAGTATCTTACTCAGAGCTGCTGGTTAGTCGCTGAACAGGCGGCAGGCACCGTTCTGCATACCTCGAAAGCCTTTGCCCTCTTCGCACTGCATCAAACTGTTAAAAAAAGGATCAGTAATAGCTTTGGTAGAACTGGGGCTCATCCACTGTTTTCCCTGTGTTCCAAGGACTGAAAACCATACTTTCTTATCAGCAGGAAAAAAAAAAAAAGACTCCTGGAATGTAAGCCCCATGAGGGCAGAGAGCTTGTCTGTTCACCTTGAATTCCCAGCACAGCATCTGCCCTGTTGTAGGGGCTTAATAAATAAGACTCCTGAGCCCCATGAGGGCAGAGAGCTTGTCTGTTCACCTTGAATTCCCAGCACAGCATCTGCCCTGTTGTAGGGGCTTAATAAATATCTATGGCAAGACTACATAGACATCACACGTATTTATGCAGATGCATAAAAGTGGCAGGAGGTTCTAAAGGAAAAAGAAAATAAACTTTTCTAATAGAAAGGTTTACAAGTGATTCACAGCCCGGGATATCCTGGTTTATATGTTTTTTTTTTTAGTGTAATTATTAATAGCACCCCCTTTCTCAAGTGTCTCAGTTTGTAAGGTAAATTAAATGGTCACCCCATCTGTAGAAGGACGTTATTTTTGGACATTCATAGGTTGCTTCAGTTAACCTGGTTAATTAAAAAACAAAAAGATGGGGCTTCCCTGGTGGCTCAGTTGTTGAGAGTCCACCTGCCGATGCAGGGGACACGGGTTTGTGCCCCGGTCCGGGAAAATCCCACATGCCGCGGAGCGGCTGGGCCCATGAGCCATGGCCACTGAGCCTGCGCGTCCCGAGCCTGTGCTCCGCAAAGGGAGAGGCCACAACAGTGAGAGACTTGCATACTGCAAAAAACAAAACAAACAAGATAATCACTCCTTTTATGACCACTCGTTAATGACTGTTTCAATGCTTGGCATTTGCTTCAAAGGCAGTGTAATTGTCTATAAGAAATCCTGTGCTGTAGCAGAGATTCACAAACACTCTTCACTCAAAAGCGTCACAGCGGCTTAGAGTCCCACCTTGCTCCAAGTACCACTGGGAATGAGGAATGTTTATAAAATGAAAAGGAAACACTCTAGAAGGTTCCTGATACTCTCTACTGCAGAAATTCCAAATTTCAAAGGTCATTTGAAGGTGTTATGCTGTCTTCTTAGAATGTAGAAGGACATGAGGCTGGTGACATGGGTTGATGTTAGGCTATGAAAGGCCATGCTAAGGAGTTTGAATTTTTGTTCTGTTTAAAATAGGGTTGGGTGGATGAGTGGGATTGGCTGGCAGTGATGCATTGAGCACACCTGTCAACGTTCCAGCCACCCCAGTGTCCCTGGCAGGAGATACTTAACAGTGTGCCCATACCTTCAGCAAGTAAATATCATTGAAAAGAAAAAACAAGTGAGGGGCATTCTAAATTAAAAGTCCCAGGAGACATAGCAACCATGTGCAACTCATAGTCCTCAATGGGATCTTGGTTTGAACAAAGTAGCTCTCTCTGAACATTTAAAAAAAAAAAAAAATCCACAGGGAAGCTTGAAATTTAGAAAGCAGATGGGATCAAATTGCTACCAAAACAAAAGTGGGGAAAAAAAAAGAAAAACAACACAGCATAAAAGACATAGAGAAGAAATGCCCCAGTAAAACAATTCTAGTGATAGTGCAGGCAGAATGTTAGCAGAAGCAAAGATGAAATGGGCCTGAGGGTGCTTCCCTGGTAAAGAATTAGCTGTGGGCAGAACCCCTGGGCCAGCTGGGTCCCTGGATTTCTTCACCCCTGGGCTCTCCCCCTTCACTCCTACTACAGCCAGAGCAACGGGACTTTTAACCAGAGAATCAAACCCAGGCACTGCTCTTTCTAAAGAAAATGAACTCTATGTGGGACACGGGCTCCTGATATTGGTAGTTTCCAGACCTCTACAACTGACAAGGGTGAAAGGAAAGGCAGCTCTGCCCAGGAGGGAAATAAACCAAAGTGATAGGTTTTCAGGGTAAAGCCTGCCTATATTTTGACAAATAGCTGATCCCAGCCACTTTGCTCTCCAGCCTTTCTTCCATCATCCCTACCATTCACACCAAACCCATGGTTTAGAAGAAACAGTGACTGGGGAAGCAGACCACCCCAACTGCAGGGGAAACTGCTCATACATGTCAGCTGAGTCCTTGAGTCATATTTATGTTTGGATAACCAAGGGTCACCAACTATTCCAGAGGCAGATTATAAAGGGGATAGAAAAAACTTAAAATTTCTAATTTGTATGTTCACAGGGGATATTATGTCCTAAAAATAGAGGGTTATGATAAATTATCAAAAGAGAGAAAAAAGTCTTAGAAATGAGCAATTCATGTTAAATTAACTGAAATTGTAAAAGTCTTTAGAAGGACTAAAGCCTGAGCTGGTGATATGAACAATAAACTTAAGAAAGTCTTGCAGAAGTTGAGACTTGAAGGATCAATTTAGGATGTCCAGCATCTAATAGAAGGTTTCCAAGGATAGACAAAGGCAACAGAGGAGGAAATAATCAAAGAAATAATAGAAGGAAATTTCCAGAGCCAAAGATCCACTGAATGCCAAGTGGGCTGAGTAAGGTCCATCCCCAGACACATCCTAGGAAATGATCAGAATCCACAGCATAAGAGAAAAGCACTAAAAGAAAAACAAGGCAGCTTTTTCTTTTCATCACCAACTCTGGTTGTGAGAAGAAAATGGCCCAGTATCTTCAAAGGTCAGAGACAAACAGATTTTGGCTTGTAGGAGTAATTTGACTATAAAGCTAGCACTGAATTGTGAGCCCTAATGCCAGTTAAAGAACATAAATAAGGAGTTTAACTCCCAAAGTATTGTAGGAGCAGGAGGGAAAAAGGACAATTTGATCACCCTAACAGGAAGCGTGGGAAAGAAGAAACTAAATTACAGTAAATGGGAAACTTGAAATAACGAATGAAGGGAATAAGACCATTTCATGTTAAGTTATGAATGTTTCACAATTAATTACATTACATTGATTACCTTAATTAATGTTCATTAGCTAGTGTCATTAATGTAAGTAATAACTTATTAAAAAATTACTTATATTAAAAACTGAAATCTCAGATTGGAAAAAAACCTAAAAAAGTCAAATATATTTTATTTAAAAATTCATACAAAATCAAAATGATACAGAAAGCCTCAAAATAAATATATAAAAAACTAAGTGCTGTATATCAGAAAAAAATAAAATTTCAGGTGAAAAGCATTAAAAAGGACAAAGATATATTTTATATAGTTTTTTCTCTATAATTATATGATATTTATATGTTAATACTGCATAAACATTGTAGATCATTATATAGTGTATATTAAGTATTATTGTTATATATTTATATGAATATATAAAATTGTTATGAACCTTTATGTACCTAATCCATAGTTTATTTATAGAGTCTATAGTTAGAGAAATTGATAAATTGACCAAGCATAATTAGAGAGGGCAGGTTTTATATATCTACCTCTTAAACTGAAAGATCAAGTAGACCTGAAATAAGAAAGCAACGAGCAAGTTCAGTCTGAAAGCTATGTAGAGGCTGTATGCCTAACAGAAAATACACATTGTTTTCAAGTATCCATGGAACGTTAAAAATTGTGTATTAAGTCACAGAGAAAATATCAACCAAGTCTAAAAAGTAGAAGTTATATAGTGTGCATTCACTGTTGACAATGCACTGATATAAGAAATGAGTCAATAGCCAAAAAAATTTTTAAAAACCAAAACACTATCCACTTGAAAATTAACATCTTTATATAGGAGTTTAATATAACTCTTAGGTTAAAATGGGAATATAAACTGAAATTATATAAACTAGCAATGAATGAACATGACCACAATATATCAGAATTTATAGGGTACAACAAAGTGCCACTTGGATGACGGCATCATTCAATAGAACTTTCTGCAATGATGAAACTCCTCTATAATTAGGCAGAAATGGTAGTCACTTGCCATATGTGGATACTGAGCACTTGAAATGTGGCTGGTTGTAACTGAACTGATTTCACACTTTAATTGTAATTAACATAAATTTAAATAACCACATATTGGACCACATAGTTCTACAGTCTCTAATAAAGCATTACCAGGAAAAGAAGATAGAAAAAAATTTAATTATATATTAATCTCTAGTTGGGGCTTCCCTGGTGGCACAGTGGTTAAGAATCTGTCTGCCAATGCACGGGACACAGGTTTGAGCCCTGGTCCGGGAAGATCCCACATGCCGCGCAGCAACTAAGCCTGTGCGCCACAACTACTGAGCCTGCACTCTAGAGCCCACAGGCCACAACTACTGAAGCCCACGTGCCTAGAGCCCGTGCTCCGCAACAAGAGAAGCCACCGCAATGAGAAGCCCATGCACGGCAACAAAGAGTAGACCCCACTCACTGCAACTAGAGAAAGCCCGCACGCAGCAACAAAGACCCAACGCAGCCAAAAATAGATAAATAAAATAAATAAATTTAATGTGTAGTTGGAAAGCAAGCAAGATGAACTCAACGCAAGTAATAAATGTTGTATAAATTTAAAAATTAATACATTTGAAAAGAAATGAAATGGGACTTTTAAAAATACATGAATAAAATTCACTTAAAGGCAGAACACTTATTTTACTAGTAAGCATTAAGGAACTGTAAAAGGTAGCCTAAAACCTACCTTTATAAATGACTTCAGGCTCAGATTTCACAGACAAGTTTTACATAAACTTCAAGAAGCCAATATATATGTTTTATAAAATATTCAAGACGTAGAATAATTTTGAAGCTTTCTATTGCTTCAAGGCTGGCATAACCTTGACACCCAAACCAGGTAAGTCAGTACAATAAAACAAAATTTTATCCAGTTTTACTTATGAATATAGATGCAAAAATCTAAAATAATATGAATGAACTGAATCTATTTGCAATAAGTATGGGTTTATCCCAGTAATGCAATGATGGCTTGACATTAGGAAATCTGTTAATGTAATTCACTACCTAACAGATGAAAGGAGAAAAAAAAATGTGGTCATGTTGATACAGAAAAAGCATTTGGTAAATTTTAACACCCATTTCTGATTTAAAATTCTTAGCCTCCAAATAGAAAGAAACTTCTTTAACTTGATAAGGGTATTGACCTTCATTATCATGTAGTAGTAAAAACATTTGAAATATTTCCACTGAAATCAGGAACAAGGCAAGAATGCCCACTTCACTCCTGCCGTTTACCGTTGTTTTGAATGTCCTAGCCAGTGCTTTAAGGTAATAAGTAAAAGGCATAAATAAATTCTGGAGACGGAGACAAAAATGTCATTTTTGAAAACCATATGATTACCTATCTAGGAAGCTCAGAAGAATCAACTAAAAAGTACTGGAACTAAATGGAGAGTACCAAAAAGTACTTTGAGCAAATTCCTTATACAGAAATCAGTACATCTCTATGTCAGCTATAATCAATCAGAAAATATAGAGAAACTATATCCCCTTCACAATGACTCTGAAATCTTGAAAAATCTAGGAATCAATGTGTGAAGACACTTGCAAAATCTATATGCAAGTAACTATAAAACTGAAGGAGATAAGATCTGATTTCTCTGAGTCATACTTCCTAAATAGGGAGATGTAATACATAATGATATTACCTAATTAATCTTTAAAATAAATGCAACTGTAATCAAAATTTTAACAGGGTTCCTTATGGAACCTGACAAGCTGTTAATAAAATTCTGTGGGAAGAGACATTGTGGGAAAATATCTAAGAACCAAACTGAAAAATAACAAGGAGGGAACCATATGCTCTAGCAAATATAAAACATAAAGAGCTAGCAGTTAGACTGTGTGCTGTTAACCAGGAATAGGCAAATAAATCACTGTATCAGAATGAAGCTCCCCAAAATTTATATACATACATACATACATATATATGGCATTTGAAACTACTAAGAGAAGTTTGGCATATTCAGTAATGCTGTTCTTTGTTATTTTAAGTGGATTGTGTTTAATATCTGTACAGAATAAAACATGGAGAAATAAAAGATGAAGATGGAAATTATATTTTTCCTAATCGAATGTGCTTGAAAATATCCCCAAATGGAAATAAAGAGCCTCTTCGGTTCCTAATGTTCAGATTTGAATAGCATGTATATTCCATTCAAAGAAAGGACTTGATTTGAGTATTTCTTAGGTTCAGGGAATTTAAATCTTTCTCTGTTCTCCGGAATGTGTTTCATCAAAATAAATCATGTGGGAGAGTCACCAGCTTGGTTCTCTCATTAGTAAACAGGTTTTCCAGCAGGATGGGCGATTGGGAAACTGGGCCTATAGAAAGAATCCTATCTATTGTTAATAGGATGAGAAAGAAACTTGTAGGAAAACCACAGTAGCATAGTATTTGTCGGCAGAACTTTAAAAAATAGCATGACTTTCAGATCCATTCACTACCCTAGGTTCTAAGGACATGAAATGAATAGTTCCTGCCCTTGAGGTATGCTTATAGTTGACCATTCAGTATAGCTGAGTAGTCAGTCATTGGCTATTTGTAACCTTTATTTATCTTCTCATACATGATGGCACGTTCTCTATGCCCAGACATTAATTGTGTGATGCTTCTGCTTTCTTCCTTCTCTTTCAGGCAAAAATAGACGTCTTATTAGTTGGCGATGTCACTGTTCAGTACCTGGCTGATATTGTACAGAAATTCTTTTCAAATTTAGCAAAAGTCACCGTCATCATTGGTGATGTGAAGAAGGCAGCAGCACTTGTGGATGATTGCACATTCAACATGATTTTTCTGAAGTTGACTTCTTTACCAACTGCCGAGGAGCTGGAAGCTGTCAGATTAATTAGGTAAACTCCAAAATCTTGACTCTATTATCTTTAGAATAGTTTTTTTTTTTAAAGATTTTTTTTTTTTGATATGGATCATTTTTAAGTCTTTGTTACAATATTGCTTCTGTTTTATGTTTTGGTGTTTTGGCCATGAGGCATAGGGGACCTAAGCTCCCCAACCAGGGATTGAAACTGCACCCTCTGCATTGGAAGGCGAAGTCTTAACCACTGGACCGCCAGGGAAGTCCTTAGAATAGTTTTTATTAAAACCTGCTTCTATAAAAATTCTTAAAAGATGATACAATTCTACTTTAATTTTTAAGATGATGGATATTTTCAAGGGCAGAATCTCTATATATGTTTTTGTTCTTCCTGCCAGTTTGACCTACTATTATAAGAATTAACATTTTAACTTAAAAGTAATAGGTGTGGGTGAGGATATAAGAATTAATTGGTCATAGAAATTTATTTGGTATATAATGCTTCCCATAATTCAGTAGGTACTCCTTTTTAATAACTATGTCATTAACATGGCATATTGTTTCAGAGTTCATTAATTCTTATAGTAGACACTAAAGCAGGTGAGCACTTGTATCTCTGGGTCATGATAGCTCTGGGCTGAAGGTGTCTCTTTCAAGAGATGTCCTAATGTGAAAGAGCCATGAAGCTCTCTGGATCCACTGAGTCCAGGTCGATACCACGTCCATTATTCTTTTCTTTTCTTTTTTTTTTTTTAAATTTAATTTTATTTATTTATTTATTTTTGGCTGCATTGGGTCTTTGTTGCTACGCACAGGCTTTCTGTAATTGCAGTGAGCAGGGGCTTCTCTTGTTGCAGAGCACAGGCTCTAGGCACATGGGCTTCAGTGGTTGTGGCTTATGGGCTCAGCAGTTGTGGCTCACGGGCTGTAGCACGCAGGCTCAGTAGTTGTGGCGCACGGGCTTAGTTGCTCCGTGGCATGTGGGATCTTCCCAGACTAGGGCTCAAACCCATGTCCCCTGCATTGGCAGGCGGATTCTTAACCACTGCACCACTAGGGAGGCCCACATGCATTATTCTTGTTTCACCCGGTAGTTGCATAGAAGTTATGCTGCTGTTTGACCCACTCAACTCTGGAGATCTGGAGTCTAGAGGTGAAAGATTTTGGTTCTTCCGTGCCTGTTTACATAGGATTTTGAGCCATTTAGGATGTTTTTAAACAGGGTTAGGTGAGATTGAATGTGTTTCCCTTCTGTGAGACTTGATGAAGTGTAATTGTAGATACTATTGGAATATATAAGGACTTCTCATAATTAGAGGAGAGGACTTTCTAGACCAAAGGAGAAAGTTTAGAGAAATATTGTGATTCCAGAATAAAAAGGACCAAGCATATTATGTTAGGGGAAAAGACAGGTGGGACTGGGAAGAAGCCAGAGACACTGGGTTACTTGTTAAAGACAAACAGAAAGACACTGCTCCTGGGGTTTCTTAGAACGGTTGGTCTTCTGCATTTCTTTGGCCTTCTACTGGGAATATGAACTCTAGACAAACCAGGCAAATTACCTCAAAGAGGATTTCACTTCCAAAACATGTTGTTGTGAATGATCTTCCTTCTGAAGATATGCCTATTTTATTAATATACCTTTTCAAAAAATCTATTGATAGAGTACCTCTGATTGGAGGCTTATAGTAATATCTCATTTGTATAGTATTAATATTTAAAAAAAATTTACAACACCTTTACGAGGGAGGTAAGGCAGGGCTTCATCATTCCTACTTGGCAGATTAGAAACCTGAGGCTGAAGTGACTTGCCTGAGACCACATGGCTTGTTTTCACAAAACTCAACTAGAACTCCTCACTCTTCCCTTCATGTTCTTTCTAAAAGTCTGTAATCATTTGGCTTCTGTATTGAAGCCCCTTTTACAATTCGGACATGCCATAGATGCCAGACTTACTTTAACCTAAGCGTATTATTTTGGAGGAGCAGTGGACAAGCTGCTGTGGCTGACCTCTCTCCATTCCAGCAGCAGGAGTCCAGCCGTACCTCCCCAAATGTGGTAAAGGCTTTGTGTTTGCTCATGATCGAGGCTACATTTTGAACAGGATAAGATTAAAGTTCTGTTTAAGAGCAAGCTTTATGTCTAGTCACAGTTGTTAGCAGCTGGGAGGGTAGAGGAGAGAACCTCTGTCTGATACTCCCCTCTGTGGATTCTCCCCACGGCTGCTTTCTTTGTCTGAATAACAAAGCTTAAGATGTGTTAGCAGAGAGAAGAAGATAGATGAAGGAAATAAATGTACAGACAGGCATATGGTAATTCTGTTGTTTTGCTGTAAAAGCATTTCTTAGAAAAGAAAAAGAGAATAATTCATGGAATACACCTGGTTTTCTTTTTTGGTCTCATTATGCTCGTCCCAATATCCGGTATACGTCTTGACTAATAGCAGGTATTCAGTACTTTGCTCTAGGTGTGGGTGGGCAACCATGCTGTTCTAGGGCAGACCATGAGTTCTAGCTTTTGTGTTCCTCTCTGAAAAAGGGACAGAGCTTTCTTTGTGGAAGCTTTGCCTTTCCTGATACTGGACTTAGAGGCTAGAAATGTCTCTGAAATTCCCTTTCTTGCCCTCAGAATTGTTATGAGTTGATGACTTATGAATTATTTAAACCCTTATGGAGCATATTTATATTTTGAGGCTGTAGTTTTTCTTAGGATGATGACTCTCATGAACATCTTGCCCTATTTATAAGGCATTTAAACCTTTATCTTTCCTACAGCACTCTATCTTTTGAGTTTTGGCTAATATTTAATGACTAAGCCAGTATGAAGAGTTTTGGCTTAGCTTTTTAATGCTGTATTTTAGATTTTTTTCCCCCTTAGAGCTTAGTTGTTGTTTTGTTATATCTCAAAATCTGGATAGGTTCAGGAAAATATACAAGTATTTACCTTACTCCTCTCTGGTCCCTTTTTATGCCCTGCCAGTGAGTGAAGAACTCACTGTAGAATAAAAGTGGTCCATGTTGATTTTCAGTATCAGAGCACATGATCACAAATCTATGTATATCTGTAAGACATACGGATTTTTATTGAAACTAAGAATGGAGTATAGTGTGTCAGCTATCATACTAAGCTTCTTTTAGGATAAAATGCAAGCAGCCTCCTTAAAAAGATTTTAAAATTTATTCTTATAGAAGAACTGTGGTTTTAGCTTGGAGCTAATCATTAATCAGTTTTAATCATTTGTAAAAATAATGGTACCTTATAGCCTGACATCCTCAAGAATTACGGCACATCTCAATTATAGGTTGACATTGCTGGTAGTACTCCCTAATTTGATTTCATTTCATGAACACATTTTTATTGAGCCAGATGAACTCAGACACCACCCAGTGGTAAAATATTTTAAGATGTTCTCAGGATTCATGTGCTTGGTTCCAGAATTTCAGGAGTATTTGACCCTTCTTTCAGGTCAGTTCTCAAAACTGAACCACATTCAAAGTGTAAATACTTGGTAATTCAGATGCATCCTGGCACTACCTTACAAAGGCCAGTACAGAACATTAGAGTATGTTTCAAACTCATCCACAGTGTATGGATCCTGTTTGCCATTGTGATTTTCTGGTCCATGAACTGTGTCTGGTTCCTCAAACCCTGTGAGTCTCGTGAGCTCAGAGCAGTGCAGCGATAGGAAAGGAACGCAGAATGTGGTTCCATCTGCTCGGTCGGCAAATCAAGTTTGAATCTGATTTTATTTTTTCCCATGTCGATTCGGTTGTCTGATCAGTTAACTTATTACGTCACCAAGAAAACCCAATCTTGTGAGCCACAAGGGTCTAACAAGTTGTCCTGCTGTGTCCCCAGTCAGAACATCCTTGACTTGACAGTGCTACTCAGTAAATCTGATCAGCCAGTTTGCATGACCTGAATACTTGACATAAACACTATAACAACAAAACATCTAAGTAGTTTTGCTAAAAACATTATTCTATAAATAGGAACTGAGGGACATTCTAGATGTTTATTGTTTCTAGCATCATGTCATGTGGTGAACCTGACTTAGAAGGGTCACAGCAGAAACTCTCCTGACAAAAAGCATAGTGGGGATGGGGCATACCAACCTTCAGTATTGACCAGAATCAACTCAGAACTTCACTGCATTTTATCACAGGTGCCCTGTTAGTAGCAAATGAACTCAGTGTTTTCATATTTACAGTAAAACTCTTAATTTTCTCACTGAAAATGGTTGTTTTAATTCATTAAGTAATTAATAAAGGATATTATTTGTTACAAGTCCCAAATAGACCACACCAAGTTAATTTGGCTGCTTTGGGCGCACAGGTTGCATAATGGATAACTGTACTCAAGAAGGATACAACCCAAAAATGACACTGGCTTTTGTCCTTTGACGTCCCTGTGCCTATAAAGGAAGTGCCTTTAGAGATTTCCCCCGGCTTCATAGGGACTTATAAGAACATTTTGGTCCTCCTATTAGATGACAGATTTCAGCGGCCAGCCAGATCTTTCCTGAGGTTCTTTGATCATCAGAGTGTACAATTCAGTTCAAAACACTTTTATCTGATTTTTTTTCCAGCTACCAGACTTAGGGGTGGGGACAAGGCTGGGAATGGCCACTGCTGCAGTTTGAGCTTATGGTGGCCTCCAGTTCCAGAGAGTACTGGGCATAGGCTAGGAGTGGACACTAGAACATCAATATCCAATCTCGTATGTGGAGCGTAGTCTCAGGATCCATCATGTCATTTAAACAGTGTATGCCGTGAAACAGGAGGGTAAATAAATTGCCCCACAGCAAATTGCAGATTTTTAAAACTCTGGAGACCTCAATTGAGAAGGTGCTTCTAAGGCCTCAGAACCTGCAATTTAGTTTTGGTATATGAAAGAAGTGGTATTAGTTGGGGTGGAGAAAGGAGATTTTTGTTGTGTTTTGGTGTTGCTTAGTTTTAAGGAACATTCATTCATTGGAAAGAGGACCTTTTTTGGTGATCCTGGAAACTGGAAACTCTGTTAGCTTATTAATTTGTACAGAATGTGGATGAGAAGCTGAGCTGACCAGAGTGTTGGATTCTGGGAACTCTATTGATTGCTGGGGTTCCTGCACAATTAGGGCTTCACTGACAGAGGAAGTGTTTGGGCTGGTAATCGATTCTGTGCTAATGACAAAAGTCCAGGAATTCCAACTCTGTCTGATGTGAAGCTTGAAATTTGAAAGTCATCGGGGTATAAAAAATCCATATATCCAAATCTAACCTATTTCCCTGTCAGTAAGGTCAATTTAAAAAAAAAATAGACACAGGATTATTTCCAAAAGCAAAGAATCTGTTTTTTTTAAAATTCTCTAATTCTAGAATATTTTAACTTAACGATAACTTGTTGTTTTTGTGAATCCACAAAGTATTTTTTTATTTCAGAAGCTGGACTGAACTACCCAATATGTTTCTATCCAGTCTGTTTGTCCCTCCCACCTCATCCCATTATTCATACCCCTGTTATACCCCACGGTTTTTCATCCCTTACAAAATAATTGGGAAAGGTTCACACTGTGGACACTGACACACAGGCGTCATTCTCTCCTCCGCACTTCCATGGTCCACACCCCACCGTGTGCTAAGGGGCCTTCCTTACTGCCACTTGAGTCTGCCTGTCGGATCCCATCCTCCCTCCTACTTGTGCCTATTTTGACGGCAGTACTTCTGCCTGAGCTTCTCATTTCCTCATAGAAACCGTGTTCTTTCCTCTCTTCTCTTTTAGCCCAAATTCTCTTTCGGAATTTATAGAACACAAGCCTGAATAGAGCTCAGTTGGGTGATTTGTCCCATTTTTGTAATATCCTATTGATACTTGTTTGACATATTTAACTTAGTAAATATTCTGAGTTTTATATATATATATTTTAAATAAATTTATTTATTTATTTGTGGCTGTATTGGGTCTTCGTTGCTGTGCACGGGCTTTCTCTAGTTGCGGCGAGCGGGGGCTATTCGTTGCAGTGGCTTCTCATGCTGCAGAGCACGGGCTCTAGGCGTGAGGGCTTCAGTAGTTGTGGCACATGGGCTCAGTAGTTGTGGCTTGCGGGCTCTAGAGCGCAGGCTCAGTAGTTGTGGCGCACGGGCTTGGTTGCTCCGTGGCATGTGGGATCTTCCCAGACCAGGGCTCAAACCCGTGTCCCCTTCATTGGCAGGTAGATTCTTAACCACTGTGCCACCAGGGAAGCCCTGGTCATTTGTTTTATAAAATTTCCCACATTCTGATTTCATCCCCATAGCATTTTAAAAAAGTATTCCTCTTTTCCTTAAATTTCTTGAAACTGGTGGTTAGATCAAGAATCTGGATAAGATTTTGGATCATTTAAAGCCAAGAACAAAAGTGGTCCGTCTTACATTCTACCTAATACCTGAGCAGTATTCTCAAAACTGTCAAGATCATCACAAACGAAGTCAGCAAAAGTGTCACAATGTAGAGTAGCCTGAGGGAGATATAATGACTGAATGTAATGTAGGATCCTGGATTGGATCCTGGCATAGAAAATGAAAGTACATTAAGAAAAACTAAGGAAATCAGAATAAAGAATGAACTTAATATATCAGTATTGGCTCATTAATTTGGAATATTTGGAAGTATTCCCAACTAATGTAAGATGTTAGCAGTATGGGAAATTGTGTTGGGGATACATGGGAACGCTACTATGTTCATATTTTTCCTGTAGATACAAAATTATTCTAAAATTAAAGTTTATTTTTAAAAAGTCACTTATTCTCTCACCCCTTCCCCAGTTGTGGAGAGCCAGGCATTTGTGGTTGCCATAGAAATGAACCATAAAAAGACTGTTCTTATTAACAGACTGCACTCCTGCTCAGAGAAGCCAGGGGTATGTTTGACTGAAGACTCAGATTTTGGATTTTCTTACCCATTAAAAGGAAATAGAGAAGCTAAAGCATCTATTTATATAAATAAAGCTTCAAACAGAGCAAGCGTCAATTTCGGGAGAATGTTCCCCTCCCTCGTATTTTTCAAATAATCTGTAATTGTACTATCCACCCCAGCCACACACTTCAGAAGCCTCTTCGTGCAACTGCAAGAAATAAAAACACAATCTCTTCTTTTATGAACTGTAAAAAAAAAAAAAAAAAAAGAAGTCCATCTTTTCCCTCACTGATTTGAGATGGTACTGTCACTAAACTTCCATATTAATGCCACCATTTTAAATTCTAATGAAATAAAGTCACTGTAGTGTAGTTCGTTCCTAATGAGCTAAATGTTTGAATCCCAATTTTTTGAATGATGATTTTGCTTCATTTTAAACTTTTTTTTTCCCTTTCAGATCTGGCAAGAAAAAAAATACACATTTGCTCTTTGTTTTTGTAATCCCTGAGAACTTTAAAGGTATGTGCCTGTTGGATATATTATCTGCTTTTTCCCCAAATAGAAATCATGAGGTCAATATTTAATACAAAGATTCTTAGGTTGTATTTCAGGTCACGGAGCTGATATTACTTTAACTGAACCACTGACAATGGAAAAAATGAGTGTTGTGATAAAATACTGGAAAACATGTTTCTCACATACTGGTGAGTGAAAAGCAGGTTTCCAAGGGTTAGAAAAATTCTAACTAAGATTCTACAAAAATTGTATTTATACATTTTTATGTTGGTTTTCCACTTATGCCTTTTGTTAAGGATTAACTGTATGCTATATACTATAAGGAACATGTAATCCTTGTTAAACATAGTGTGAAGAAAACAAGTGTGAATAAAATAAAGGGAAACATACGTTCTATACCTGTGAAGAAAATGCTTGTCCTCAAAGGTTTAAAATGTGCACGAGGGACAAATGCAGTGTTGTGGTTAAACACAGGTTTTTTTCTGCTTTGGGGGTTTTTTTTTGGTAGCCTAGCTTCTTAGTCATTTGAATGGAATTATTCATGCTTTGTGCTGTTTGATTGTCTAAAAGCCAGAGCCATTAACCTTGAGTCTTTGTGCTTTGTAAAACACTTGCATATAAATTATTTCACTTCTTTAAGTAGTGGTTATCCTTTCTGTTTTAGATTTTTAGACACAGATAATTAGTGTCAGTGCTTCAATGAGACCTCACATTTCTAAACTCTTCACCTGTATTGTATTATGTGTATTGCCAGCATCTAAACACTTAAGATAATTAAATTGCTTTAATTTGCCTTGTAAAAGGACAGACTCCAATTTCTGAAATTAAATTCTACTGGAATCATTGTCAGTGACTATTTATAATTTTTCTAGATCCAGGTTACTAGTAGGAAATCTTTTAAAATTAAGGTATTTTTCTTAAAATGGACCTGAAACACGCTTTCAGGATTATCATGGATAAGCTCATACTCCAGAAGATACAAGATCAGTGCACCCCTCCTTTTTTTTTTAGTGTTTTTCTTCAGTATCTAGGCAAGATGAGTGAGTCTGTTTTGTAACATTCCAATGGCTCCCATCCCCTGCAGGTGTCAGAGTTCTTCCTGGAAATGAAATGTGTAACTGTCTGGGACCAGAGTCCTTTTGCAGCCTCTTCTCATTTTGGTTCTCAGTGGAAATAGAGCAGCTGCTTATCACCACCTGTCTAGCACCCTTCTTATTGGTCCTAACCATGTCTCATCCAGTCATCTCAGCTCTGCTCTTAGGATGAGCAGCTGCAAAACAAACAACAAAAAGCAACAACAAAAAGCAAAAAAACCCAAAAAATCCCCACACCAAAAAACAACACAACCATGAGATGCTTTGACAATGCAGCTACTTACTGAAGACTCATACGCATTTTCTGTCTCTGACATTTACCTGTAAATAATAAGTAAACTCAGTTGAATGCATTTTTAGGCACACCTATCACAAAGTTAGTAGAATCTGGTTGAAAGAGGATGCTGTGGAGTAACTTGTATGTAGTGTTTTAATTTTGCTTTCTCACCTGGGTAGTTTCATGCTTCACAGATTGAAATCTATAAAAATTGCTTTTTATTTAAAAAATGCTGCTTTGTAAAATGTATTGAGTGAAACATGACAGCTATTTTTTTTTTTTTTTTTTTTTTTTTTTTTTTTTTTTTTTTTTTTGCAGAAGGTGGGCCTCTCACTGTCATGGCCTCTCCCGTTGCGGGGCACAGGCTCCGGACGCACAGGCTCAGTGGCCATGGCTCACGGGCCCAGCCGCTCCGCGGCATGTGGGATCCTCCCGAAACGGGGCACGAACCCGCGTCTCCTGCATCGGCAGGCGGACTCTCAAGCACTGCGCCACCAGGGAAGCCCGACAGCTATTTTTGATTAGGGTTTATATGTGTGGTTAACATCATCCCCACCAGTGATTTATAATTGAAATGGTTCCTCTTTTAAAACTTGCAGTTAAGAATGAAATTTCTGTGAAGCCTGAAGAACCTGAATTGCCCCTGCAGAAGTCCTGCAGTGAACACCTGAGATATTTTTCTACTGATCTCTTTGCTCGGTTAGTTTTCTTCACTTTTTCGTAGTAGCAATTTTTACTGTGTACATTTCATTAAAAAACATTTCTGGAGGACTTATTGATTGTGCAACAGCAGCTCAAGTGCCGGGGGTGACGCAAAAGAAAGTAGCTATTTTGTGGAAGAGGGATGCAGCCTGTACTATATTTCAGAATCCTGAGCTGGCACTGTGGGGACACATTACAGAAGTATCCAACTAAATATAAGGAAGCACTTCATAACCACAGGGGAGCAGGTTGAATTGTAAGGTAGTAAGTTACCCATCACTGGGCATGTTAAAGTAGAGACTGGGTTAAATAAAAGCAGTGATGTTCAAACTTTTAAAACAATGGAATCCTAAGCTGTTATCCATCTGCCAATAAGCTTCTCCCTAATGTCTTTTTTGAACTCATGAACCTACCCCACCAATTACTGAAAATAACCCTTAAAGATGGTCTCTCTGTCTCTGTCTCTTTGAGATATTAGAACTAGCATTTAAACCTGCATTGAACTGGGGGTCATTCAGACCCTTTCAATTCTAACACTGTATGCTTATAAAAATTCTATTTAATGAATTTCTTTGTTTCACTTGAAGCTGATTTCCAAGGAGATTTTAAATAGAGCATAGGGCTATAAAGAATGGACACAAGTGTTGAGAACATGGATGATGATGGTGAGAATTTTGAGTTAGTCACTTCCAGAATTTGTAGAATGTGACCGTCAACTATTTTGAACAGGGAAGAGACTTGGCAACCAATAAGCATGGTTAAACCAAAGATGCACTTACTTAAGTAGTACAGAGATAGCAACAGCTTTCTTTATTTTATTTAACATTTCAACCTCAAAGAAATTTACCATATTAAACTTTTTCTGGGATATGGGGTTGGGAAGGGTTTTGGAAGGCCTTGTGATTTTCTTGTATTACTTACAACTGCTTTTTGAGCCCTACTCATCTTGTATCTTTACTCTTCCTCAGAATCCTACTACTATAAATAAAAGTCAATTTTCAAATCAAGTTATATCCCTTGTGATAAAGGAGATAATATTAGTTTGTAAGTTTTTTAGGGGAATTTTTTTTAAAAATCAAATCAGTGAAAATGCCTGGAGAAGTTCTAGAAAAATGGTCTAGCCAGAAAATGTCCATTAAATGACAATTTTGTTACATGGAGGTAACCTGCCGGTTGCTGATCAAGCTGCAGTAGTGTATCTTGGCCCTCTAATCCTTCGTGCTTTTCCTGTAATGTACCTTTAGATACAGTCATGTAATTTGGAATACTCATACTCAGTGAGGTTAGAATATTTTAGTCCTGCTTGTATCTGTTATTCTTTATCAGTATATTTTATTTTATTCTATTTTTATTTATTTATTTATTTATTTATTTATTTATTTATTTATTTCTGCGGTACGCGGGCCTCTCACTGTTGTGGCCTCTCCCGTTGCGGAGCACAGGCTCCGAACACGCAGGCTCAGCGGCTGTGGCTCACAGGCCCAGCCACTCCGGGGCATGTGGGATCTTCCCGGACCGGGGCATGAACCCGTGTCCCCTGCATCGGCAGGCAGACTCTCAACCACTGCGCCACCAGGGAAGCCCTATCAGTATATTTTAGAATCTTGATCAGTCATTGAATTTATGATGACCTTGACAATAAATTCTTTTGAAATTTTGAAATAAACTATTCTGTACCAAATTCATAGGGTAAAATGCTTTGATATTTACTGTACCTTTGTATAAAGCTAGGGACTTAGAGAAGCATCCTTTGATTAGTGTTTTGGTGCTTATTGTTTACTATTGCCTGACAATTTTCCTCTTTATATGGTATGATTTTCTCTTGTTTCTAGCTCTGAATCTCTAAGAAATGACATTGGGTTTGAATTAAAGGCTCCGTTGTCAAATTTCGAGAAAAACAAAAAGATTTCTCTTCTTCACTCAAGCAAGGAAAAGCTGAGAAGGTGAATTTTGTTACAGCCCCCTTTTTAGCATCATTCCTTTGTAGGAAAAAATTGCTTCCATGAATTTCGTAACTTTTTATAATATTGTCAAAAGTCGGTGCGAAACTAGTAAATCTGGCAGCGGGGCAAGATCTGGAACTGATCCCTGCAATATGCGCTACTCACTCATTCATTCATTTAGTCATTCAGCAAGTAGCTGTGAGTGTCTAATATGCCAGAATATGATTCGAGAACTGAGGTAAAAAATAAATTGTTGCCTTCAAGGAGGTCTTAGTCTAGTGCTTAGACAGACTTCTAAATAGGCTCTTAAATAGGAAATTATGTTTTAATAAATATCATGATAGAAAAGAACACACAGTAGGACACTAGGAGAGTTATGTAAGACAGAATGATGAGGCAGGAGGGCTTTCTTGAGAAGACGATAGCTAAATTGAGCTTTAAACAAAAATTGGTTTAGTTTGGTTTAGAAATCAGTGAAGGATGTTTCAAATGGCAGGAGTAGCAGGTACAGAGGCCGGCAGTGTAAGAAGTACAGTGAATTTGTGGAACTGCAGGTATTTTCATAGAGTTGGCCATAAGGGGGCAAGTGGGAAGGGGCAAGAGATGAGAGGTAGTAGGTAAGGGCTGGGTATGTCCTGTTAAGGAATTTGAATTTCATCCTGACCTGTTCATCCTGCACTAAAGGATTTTAGCAAAGGTGTGATAGGATAAGATCTGTACCTTAGAATGAACGCTTGAGCAGGATGTTAGGGGAGTCTGTGATAAGAAATGATGAAATCCTGAACTATGGTGTTAGAAATGGGATAGTGAGAAGTAAGCCAATTCTAAGTATATGAAATAGGTAGAATCAGCGTGAATGTGGCTGAAGGAGAAGGCAGGTGTAACTTCCAAGTTGATGGTGGAGCCATCGACTGACTGGGAAGTACAGTGGAATGCAGGCTGCGAGTGGGAGGTGAGCTTTGCTCTTGCTGCGTTTGTATGGAGCTTCCCAGTAAGGAATTGGCCCTTAGGTTCTAGAGAAGATCCAGGCTAGAAACAGGGATTTGAGAGCTATCAGGATACAGCGTCTATTTGAAGCGGTGGATGCAGGATGGATATAATGACTTTGAAAAGCATGTAGGGAAGAGACAAGTGGGGAAGAGGCCCTTGGGGAAAACCTCAATATTTAAGGTCCAGGCAGCCGAGAAGAGATCAGGGGAAAAAGAGTTTCTAGGAAGATAAGAAGAGCAGGAGGGAGTGGTATTGAGGAGAACAGGGGAGGAGAGAGTTTCCTAAAGGAGTGAGTGTTCAGGAATATTGCATGCCACAGAGATTAAGCAAGGGAAGAACTGACAGTTGACTGTGTTTAGCAAAACCTAAATGTCACTGACCTTGGCAAAAATAATTCCCTTGGTGTGGTTAGGGAAGAAGCGCCGTTGCAGGAAGATGGAGAATGAAAGGTGAGAATGCAGATGAGAGGAAGGAGAAAAGGAAGGTGTGCGGTCTATAAAAGGGAATTTAGGGGAAAATGAGAAATTTTGATAAGGCTGGGCCAGACTTGAATATGTTCATATTTATCTTCCAAAAGAAGACAGCTGGAAGAGAGACAGAGGTCTTAAAGATACTCATGTTTTGGTTATCTGTGGCTGCTTGAAAAATGAAACTGAAGTTTATTGGCTTGATACGTGGTTTTATGGGTTAGCAGTTTGAGCAGGACTCAGCTAGGCAATTCTTCTGCCTATGTGACATTAACTGGGGTTACTTGGTAGCATTCAGCTGGAGGATGGTCCAGTCAGGAGGGTCTGGGGCCTTTGCAGGGATGGCTGGAAGGCTGAATGCAGCTGGGGCTCCCCAGCCTGCTAGTCTCAGGGTTGTCAGACTTCTTCCATGGCAGCCCAGGGCTCCTAGAGAGAGTGTTCCAGGGGGCAGGAAGAGGCAGCTGCGCTGTCACACGGCCTGGGACCAGAAACTGGCCCAGTGCCACTTCTACCATGTGCTCTTGGTCAGAGCAGTCACAGAGCCTACCCAGGCCTAAGGGAAGGGTATATAGACCCCACCTCTCAATGGGAGGAAGGTCAAAGAATTTTAGTTCCCTTCAGGCAGTGAGGGGCACTGGCGATGGATTTACATCCCTGAGGAGGCAGAAGGCTTTGGAATCTAGAACCAGGTGGAAGAACACCTCTTCCACTGAAAATGGAGAGAAGGAGTTAAAGCTAAGTGTGGATAAAGATGAGTCTTTTCGTTTGTTTGTTTGTTTTTTTCGTGCCCTGTGTTCTCTGCCTTCCCCAGCCGTCCCCTTCTGGAGTGTTTGTGTTCTCCCAGCTGGTGCCTGGCCTGGACGTTCTTTTTTTTTTTTTTAACATCTTTATTGGAGTATAATTGCTTTACAATGGTGTGTTAGTTTCTGCTTTATAACAAAGTGAATCAGCCATACCTATACATGTATGACGCAAGAGGGAAAAGATGAGTCTTTTGATGGGGCCAGAAAGGAGGAGGAAGTTGATTATTTCTGCCGAATGTGCTCCATCGTCTGCTGAAGATTAGTGGGAAAATGGTGTGGTTTGGGGCTTGATGAGATGGGCTGGTAGGTGGGCTAGTCTGGTCCAAACGGCCTTCACTCATATGTCTGCTGCTTTAGCCAAGAGGAGACTTAGGGCCTGCTGGCCAGGCTATCCTATAGAGTTCACTAATCTGCAGTGAAATGAGAAAAATACAGTGCAATGAGTATTTGTAAAGCTATATTTTACATAACATATTCTAAGATTGTGTTTTCCATACTTTATTTGATGTTAAAATCATGGTGATATGAGTAAATGGTTTACAACAAAATGTTATTGGGAGATGGTACCTTTCTTTCATTATTTTTCATGTCTGAATCGAATGTTGGCAATCCCTTATTGGTCCCCCAAAGTTCTGTGTTGTTTTTCTTTTTTAATTTTAGTGGTTGATGAAAACTAAAATCTGAGAACCACTAGTCTAGAGGACTACAAAGATGCTTTGGGGAGTGTCCACCCCTGTTGCATTATTTAAAGGGCTAGAAGTCTTTGTTTCCCAGAAAGAAAAGCTGTAACCAGGAACTGACCCCTCCACTTAGAGATTTGCTTGGGAGATACCAGAAAGTAACAATCCGTCCCTAATTACTTTATGCCATTTCCTATTCTTAACCCTTCTGATTATGCCTGTGAATCTTAAAATAGATGCTTCTAGTCTATTTCTCTTCCTTTTTCTCCTCCTCCTCCCAATCAGCTGCTTTACTTATGGTTTTGTCTTTTTTTGCTTTGTTTTGCAGTTTTTTGTTTTTAAGCAGCATAAGTAACATGATATTTGCTAATGTTGAGGAAATAATGATCCCAGCTGATGGTTTTGAATACTTGCATTTGGGAATTTCTTTTTTGAACAACTCTACCATCTCTGTTTTTTTTTTAATTAGAACAGATTAATAAAAATTGGCTAATTCTAATATTCTTGATGAAATCCCTTTCATTACACATGTTTTAAATATATAAATATGTCTTTATCTTGGTAAGGTGTATACTTTGCTGTGCGATACCCTCATTTTGTTTGTGTATCTGTGAGTCCAAAATGGTGGCGGTTTAATCATTTTCAGGATGTCACTCACTTGAAGTGAAAGTGAATTTTGCTGTAGTTTCTCACAAATGAAGGCTTTTCCAGGGCTGGAAAGACTTTTCAAGTCTTAGAAATTTAAGGAAGGTAGAATAGGAAGTTCTCAGAGGGTCTTAAGTCATATGTGGCCAAGAGACCTCTCTCTGTGAGTTCTTGATTGCTTGAGACACATTTGTACAGAGGAGAGACCAAGGACGTAGTCTGGACCAAGACCTTTGGCTTTAAATGCCATTCAGCCTCTTAGAATCACTTTTAGCTGGTTCTTTCCCTGATTTATTTGGACTGGGTCATAACCAAGCTGGCTTCTGTGGTAGATGACAAAAACAAAACACATTTTTGCCTGTTGTTGCCTATTGCTGCTTCTGTACACAAAGGGAAAAGAAAACAGCAGGACCCTGTGGGGCCCCTGAGCTGGGTATCCTACTTTTTTGAGCCAACATTAACATCCTTAACAAAGGTTCTCTAACACCATATACAAAAATAAACTCAAAATGGTTTAAAGGCCTAAATGTAAGGCCTGGATTCTACAGAACTCCTAGAGGAGAGCATAGGCAGAACACTCTTTGGCATAAATCACAGCATTAGTTTTTTGGGATCCGTCTCCTAGAGTAATGGAAATAAAAACAAAAATAAACAAATGGGACCTAATTAAACTTAAAAGCTTTTGCACAGCAAAGGAAACCATATACAAAATGAATAGACCGTCTCCTAAGTAATGGAAATAAAAACAAAAATAAACAAATGGGACCTAATTAAACTTAAAAGCTTTTGCACAGCAAAGGAAACCATATACAAAATGAATAGACCACCTATGGACTGAGAGAAAATATTTGCAAATGATGCTACCAACAAGGGGTTAGTTTCCAAAATATACAAACAGCTCATACAGCTTAATATCAAGAAAACAAACAACCCAATCAAAAAATGGACAGAAGATCTAAATAGACATTTCTCCAAAGAAGATATACAGATGGCCAGTGGGCACATGAAAAGATGCTCAACATCCCTAATTATTAGAGAAATGCAGATCAAAACTACAATGAGGTATCACCTTACACCAGTCAGAGTGGCCATCATTAAAAAGTTTACAAACAATAAATGCTGGAGAGGGCGTGGAGGAAAAAGAAACCCTCTTAACACTGTTGGTGGGAATGTAAGTTGGTGCAGCCACTATGGAGAACAGTGTGGAGGTTCCAGCAATCCCATTCCTGGGCATATATCTGGAGAAAACTCTACTTTGAAAATATACGTGCACCCCAGTGTTCGTAGCAGCACTATATACAATAGCAAAGGCATGCAAGCAACCTAAATTTTCATCAACAGATGAATGGATATAGGAGATGTGGTGTGTGTGTGTGTGTGTGTGTGTGTGTGTGTGTGTGTGTGTGTGTGGTGGA